TTTAGTGGTTTTCCCCTTTCACTCTTAAAACAATCTTCTTCTCTGGAAAGAAAGTAAAATTACATTAGTTTTATAACAATAATATTTAGAACATGCATACTCTATATACCTGCTATCTGTGAGTGCTACATCACAAGTGTTCAAACAGATTCATCTTCTTTGATGTTAACAATGACCACTTTGGCAGGGCCCCTAACTAGCATTAACAACCATGGCAAGATGCAGCTGGGCATGAGGAGCCAATCTCAGAATACACACACCCTGATGCCTATCACATTGGCTTCCTGTTCCCATTCAGAGTAGGATCAATGAATGGGAAGCATCTGTCACTTTGCTTTGAAAGTCAATGAACAAAATGCCTCAAATATGCAAGGTACTCTTTTCTAATAAAGTTGACACATTGATTCTTCAGGTCTTTAGATTTCCTTAACTATCTCAGAGCTAGGAAGTAGATACTTCTTAGGAAGAGTATATTTATCTTTCTGTGTGATATGTCATAGCAAAATAGGTGAATATTAGAGAAACACTGTATTGTAAATTTTTAAGTTATTAATGTTTTCTGGATTATTTAAATTCTATTTAAAATAAGCTACTTAAAAAGTACTTAAAATGAGCAAGATTATTTTTTAGACTGTACAGAATCATTAGAAATAATTGTGCAAAATAAATCTCACATGCTCTTAGATTTATAGTTATAGCTGTTTTTTATAGGTAATTTTTCCTTTTACATCTTCAACGAATCCTTAATAAAGCATTTTTGAAAAACCAGTGTCACTACCAAGCCTTTGGATGATTAACTACCCTATGATATTTCTTTCATCCAAGCTGGTTTATAAAGGAAAGCAAAAACGACAATAAAAGAAATGTACCAATTTATTCTCTACTAATAAAGTATTGAACATTAGTGAAAAAAAGTATGAAATATTGGAATGCAACACAGAGCAATTCCATTACCCGTTGCAGTTTTGGATCATATACTGTATATAAAGAGTAATTACTTCATTGGTTGGAGACCACAGCGGAGGAAGATAGAATTTGATGAAAGATATTTTAAAATAAAAATTTCATCCCAAAGCATTTGCTTTCCAAAACTTTGCTGACATTACACACCATTTTATTTTGTCATTTGGTGACTGAGTGAGGGGCAGAGAGTATAGAAAGAAAGAAGAAAGAAAGGAAATTAATAATGGGCAAGATTTTTTAAACTCTGTAGTCAATAATCTTACATCAGCCCTTGCATTTTAAAGTATCTAATAAAAATTATATTTATAGAGGCCTTAAAGGCACATCCTATTAATGGAGATCCCACAGGAAATATCTGCACACTGGATTACTGATACTCAATCTGGTGGTTTCTTACACTTCTACCATTTCTCACCTTTGAATCTAAGTTTGTGGATTTTTTTTTTTTTTCTTGCTGAAGATTTTAGCTGTATGATGGAGCTAGATCATGTTATCACCAATACAAGTTCCTAAACATTTTCAGTATTTTCTTCTTTTTAATCACCCTGGGATCCTGGGTAGAAATTGAAACCCTCCTGGATGGTGTGGAAAGGTCACACAGTATATTATAGAGAAGATAAGCTGGAGTTGGCCAATCGTAGTCTCAGTCCAAACTCTATCACTGGTCCCTGAGCTTCAGTTTCCTCCTCTGTGAAGCTGAGAAAAAGATTTCCTTTACATGATTGAAAGAATTAAGCAGACTATATAAGAAACACTGCAGTGTTTAATAGTGTCTATTTATATTCTATTTCTTTCTAAAAATAATGTAAGATTGCTTATTAAAATATATAAAATACATTAAGAAAAAAAGATAACTAAGCTACAGTAAAAACCATGCTCAATGAATCCCAATTCATTTGTTTCTTCTACTCATCTTCTTTTCATAATAATATTGGGAAAAATCAGGACAATATTCTGATTACAGAAATAAAACATTCATTGCAAAAACTTTGAGTATTACATTATGAGAAAGAAGAGAAACTTTCATAACCCTGAAGATTTTGACACATTCTTTGAATCCTTTTACTAATGTACGATTTTTTAAGTAAATTAGAATTATATGTATGTGACATTTACTTCCTGCTTTTTTCAATATTTTTTAACTCATTATAGTCTACCAATTGCCTGTACCCAATTAACTCCACCAACATGCTAGTGATTTTTCTTTTTTATAAACAAAACAGCAATGAAAATTTTTTCAGATGTTTATTGAATATATATTGGAAATATAATCCTGTCATTTGTTATATTTGTTGAGAATTTTTTCCCAGTTATTCTTTTAAATTTATGATGATGTATGGCATAATAAGGGAGCTCTGGTGGCACAGTGCCTAAGGCATTTGACTGCTAACCAGAAGGCTGGTAGTTCAAACCCACCATCCACTCCTTGGAAGGAAGATTGGGCAACCTATTTCCGTAAGGATACCATGTCTGAAACCCAAGGAGGGGTCGATGAGTTGGGATCAACTTGATGGCAGTGAGTTTGGTTTGGTATGCCATAATAACTTTATATTTTTATACAACATTGCCATCAATTATTTTTCTTTGTGATTTTTTTTACTGCTTGTACACTTAGAAAGTCTTTCTCTATTCCAAATCAGTAAATAACTTACCTACATTTTTCTCCTGTTTTTATCATTTATTTTTAGCTTTTAGATTTAAATTAATCTGGAATACTTTAGGCTTTGTTATGGGGTGAGAGCTAACACAATTTTCCTCAAATAGGTTAAAAAAAAAAAAAAAAAAAGGCCCTGTAACATAATGCTTCCTTTTCTTTATGATGGACTTATGATGGTGCCTTATCATACACCTATCTCTTTCAGTGCTCATGTTATATACATCATAATGATTTTAAATAGCTAATACAGTAAATACCTTCTTATTATTTCTCTTTTGCAAAATGTCTTGGCTGTAATTACACATTTGTTCTTCCAAGCACATTTTAAAAACATTTTATCCAATTCTTCTCCTTTCACTCCACTCTAAACACATTAGCATTTGCCTGATATTGTGTTCAATCTATATGTTCAGTGGGGGAAAAGTACATTCTAAGTCACAGTTCCAATACAGAAAACAAGGTATCTCTATTTTCTTCATATAGATCTTATACATGTCTTATTAAGATTATACCTAAGTATTTTATATAATTTGATTGTTACTGTGAAATAAATAATTTTCCCATCATAATTTCAAGTTGGTAAGACATTATTGTCAATGGACTTTTATTGTATAACCAGCATACTTCAATTCAAGTTTGATTTATTAAGTGTGTAGAAAAATACGCATAAGAGCACTTCACTTCATAGACAAAAATGAACTTAGTGTCTGAGAGAGGTGAACAAAGGCCAAGTAATAGACCAGACTAACTTTGTAGCTATGAAAGGAGCTGGGAGAAGCCACTAGTTATTCATTTTATTGTAAAGTATACAGTGGAATAATTGAATTAATGCATTTTTGTCTATAACTGGAGAGAGAGAAAAGATGAGAGATTGATGCACCCATGTCTGTAATGCAAGTGAAGAATGACTTTCTAAAGATAGTATGGACCTTGAGTAATTAATTGTCCCTTATACTTTTATTGAGAAGCTTTGTGCATCTCCTTTACCTTATTGTCTGACAATCTATTTTGACATAAGCAAGATGAATAAATTTGAAAAGATCTCTCATGGGAATTGAATTTTAAATGGAGGCTCTAACTAAAGATCAAGTTATAAAACTGGCCGCCATTTCCTTGGTCCCAGTGTACTCTGCTGTCCTTGGAGGATGCATATACACCTGTCATTTACTTGCCCTCAGTGTCTGGGGTGGCAGGTTGCCAGACCCGGCCGAATGTTCACAGTGTAAAGTGCTTTAGACTCTTCTGAAATGAAAGTCAGTATGTAAATGTGCAACATGACGACATTATTATTCGCGCTTCCTGGCTGCTTTCAGCAAGCTCTGACTGCCACATGAGGTCTCAAGTGTGCTGGCACAGTGTGCAAGTGTTCAAAAGAAGTTAAAGTAATGAAATTGGATCTACATTTCCATAGATATTCAAGCTGGCATGGAGGAATGGAATCATGGAATCAGGGTTGGATGGTCTCCACCAGACAGCCTAGGCAAGTGCCTGTGATGCCAGGCTACTAAGCAGAATTTTCGATCGTGAAAGGGCACCACTATTTCTTCCTTTGGGTCTAAAATTTCAAATGTGCACATCCCCCCTAGGCTCACACCACTCTGGGTGCTTCATGATCAATCTCCACCCACCCATTCTCTGAAACACACAAGCTTTGCTTAAACTCGGCAGAAGCTTTAAAACGAAGAACGAAGAGCAAAAAGGAGAAAAAAAATGTGAAGTTAGAACCTTGACTACATATGCTACTGTATAAAATATGACAATTATTTTTAAGAAGAGGGCCAGGCTTAGTGTGTGTCTGATCTACCTCAGGTAATATCTGAGAAGGAGCCACTTAATGGATTTCTGTTGACCTTGTCACTTTTTGCACTTTTCATTGCTTACAGGTCTTCATATTTGCACTTAGCCTTCTCTATTGCTGAAATACCTGGAACCACAACTAAGCTTAGGTCTATGGATGATGAGGCTAAGAAACTGGGGGAGCTGAGTAGCAAATCATGGGGGGTCCAGGGTCAGTGAAGAGAGTCCTGCCTCCCAGTTGTGGGTTTGGTCATTCCAAGACCCACCCTCCTCCCCACATGACCCCACTGAAAAGTTTCTGTTCACCAGGGCAAGGACAATAGAGTCTCAGTCCCCCACTTTGCAGCCGACTTTCTAGTAGTAGCATAGGTGGCATATAGGAGCACAATGCTGGGTACTCTTTCTCCATCTCCCTTCATATCTTGAATTCTCCTAGGTAACAATTATCTGTTTATATACACACAGAGATGAAATTTATTCAAGTTAAAAAATATATGTATATAAGAGAAGGACAACCCAAAGAATCCAAGCACTGAAGGATACCTTAATTACACAGAATCTCTCTCTTTTTATTGTGTTTTAGGACAGTGAAAAAAAGGGATTTATAAATAAAATCTATGCCATCCAGGAGGTATGTGTCAGTGTCCAGAACATCCTAGATGAAGTGGCTTCATTTGGCGAAAGGATAAAGAAGTGAGTGATGCTGACATGTGGGAACCAGCCTTCTGGGGGACAGAGAGACCATTTGTTTCTCCGAGGGTGAAATGCCATATTCTCTTTGGCAGGGGACACTCCTTCTGGGTGATTTATTGCTTTGTTTCATCATTATTTACTTTGTTTCTGCCAGTCTTTGGTTTTATGAAAGTTCTGTCAATTTCCTTCCTGGAATTTAGAACATATTGGTTGGAAAGAAAGTCATACTTGTAAGTCTGAAGAAATAACACCGTCCCAAATTTTAGCACATTTTCACAGTAAAAGACTTTGTTCTTAAATGGAATATGAAATCATGATAGAAAAAAAATATATAAAAGCCAAGCTAAATGAGGATTTCAGGTAATTGAGCCACACCTGTATTTTATTAGTGGTCAAGTGATATTTTCATCAGGTTTTTCTAAATAATGAAAAATGCACAGCACCCTACAAAAATATTCTTAAATGTTAAAAAGTTATACATTTAAATAGCTGAGGTCATGATTATAGATGAAATGAATTAATGGTTTTTCACTTAGAACATGCCCAGAATTTTCCTAAATTTTTTAAAATAAGGCACTGTAGCTTCATTGGGATTTAGTGTAAAATTAAGAAACTTGCAATTTTAATCTTACATTCTTTGTGTTTTATTTCAAATAATTTTACTTACTAATATATCTTTTTCCTTTTACTTTATTTTCTGTTCTATTTTTCAATTTTATTTACTAATATACATTTAAGAGCAACTGTTTAATTATAAAAGTAATTAGGTAGATTTATAACAACTGATTATCTGTTTAAAATATACTAAGGCCCATACTACTAAAGTATGTGAAAATTGGCCTTTAAAATGGCTACTAATGGCCTTATTCAAGAAGAGGTGCTGTGTATCTGGATAAGCCTATATTTTTCTAGTTTCATATATTTATTCATTGTTTATTATTCATAACCCAAAGTGTTCTGCAGATTTCAATCCTTGGGCACACATCGAGTTTGAAAGGAGTAAATTATTTATACTAAAGGTGTGAGTCATTCATCTGGTGCCTTTCATGTTTCAAGGGATAATGCATTTTATTTTGTATATTTTTTTGTTTAATACATTTCCACATGCATAGGTGCTGAGTTTCCACTTTCTTATATCATATTAGACAGAACAGACTCCTTCTCACTCCCAGATGTGTCTCTAAACAACATTCAGCTTCTGACTTTGAAGACTGATTCCCATATCCTTTCTCTCTCTTTATCCCTTTCCATGTTACTTCCATCTCTAAGAAAGTTCCCGTTTCCTCCACATCCCATCCACTGAGGCACAGTGTGAAGTTCTACATTTGGGGCATTTCCCTGTTGATTGTTGTCCTTTCTCTGGGCTACAATATGTGCTAATACGTGCATGAAATATGCCATTTGTACCAGAAAACCCTAGGCCAACACCAAGGTGAGGCTAAGGATTGCCTGAGGAAACAGTGTCCTTTGTAACTCTGAGTGGCAGGAAGCCTCAGAGCAGGTGCTTGGGTGGAAAACACAATAGCCAACCAAAGGATATGACCAGAATCTAGCTGTGGATGACACATGGGGAAAACTGAGTTTTTCTGAGCTTTCCATGTTGAGGTATAAGAACATGGCTTAGGACTCAGTGAGTCCTGTAGGAGCCATTTCTTCTCCACAATATCCTTTTGTGAGATGACCAATTGCCATTACTCAACTCCAACTCATGGTGAGCCCATGCATGTCAGAGTAGAACTACTCCATAGGGTTTTTAATGGCTGAGTTTTCAGAATAGATTATCAGGCCTTTCTTCCAAGGCACTTCTGGGTAAACTGGAACCTCCAACTTTTCAATTAGCAGCTGAGCATGTTAAACATTTATACCACTCATGGACTTTTGGGTGCAAAGGAAATTTTCCTGGAGTCATACTAGATTTGAAAAAAAAAAAATCTGTTTAGAAAGCACATTCAGAAGTAATGTTTAAGGAAAAGTGAAAAACCTTTATAATGACCACTTCTTGTTACTATACAATCATTCCAGAACTTTCTTGAATTTTATCTCTATGTTTTGGCAACAGTGATATTCTAGATTTAGGGCCCATAGTACAGAATGTTGAAATAGAAAATGGTGTGTTTTTTTTTTTAATTTTGTTTTTTCTGACATTAGCTACACTGATGAGGGTTCTAAGGAGCTCTGGTGGCATAGTGCCTAAGGCATTTGACTGCTAACCAGAAGGTTGGCAGTTCAAACCCACCAGCCACTTCATGGAAGTGGGCTATTTACTTCCATAAAGATTTATCACCTCAGAAATGCAAAGGGGTTCGCTATGAGTTGGAATTGACTTGATGGCAAGTAAGTTTGTTTGTTTTTTTGTTTTTGTTTTTGTGTTTTGGTGAGGGTTCTTGGCCCTTTATCCTTCCAAGAGGAGTAAGGAGAGCACAGAGAGCCCTTCAGTGAGGCTGCCCAGAAGGAGGGTTTCTGAGTGGAGAGCCACTGCCTTCACACATGGAGCAGTGTGGTGGATAGCTCTGAGATGGGCCATGGGAAAGTAAGGAGAGCCTCAACCTTCTGTTCGCTCTACACGCGGGCAGGAACAAAGGAGGCACAGGTATTCATAAAGGAGAGAAGCCATGATCCTTTACTTGGTGACAGCTATAGGACCTCCTTCTGGCCATGAGAGAAGAAAGAAAAACAATTACAGAAAACTAGACCTCACTCAAGAATTACTGTGACAAACACAACCAGAGTGGTTCAGCTTTGGCTTATTTAGTAGAAAGAAAAATTTTAGGAAAGACACAAAAAAGCAAGCTACATGCCATGAGAGCCAAAATATGATCTTGAATATATCCCTCCTGAATTTAGAGACCATCTAAAGAATAAGTTTGATGCATTGAACACCAATGACCAAAAACCAGAAGAATTGTGGGATGACATCAAGAACATCATCCATGAAGAAAGCAAGAGGTCACTAAAAAGACGAGAAAAGAAGACCAAAATGGATGACAGAAGAGACTCTGAAACTTGCCCTTGAGCAGAGAGTAGCTAAAGCAAATGTAAGAAATGACAAGATAAAAAAGCTGAACCAAAGATTTCAAAGAGCAGTTCGAGAAGACAAAGCCAATTACTAGAATGAAATGTACAAAGACTCAGAGTTAGAAAACCAAAAGGGAAGAACACATTCAGCATTTCTCAAGCTGAAAGAACTGAGGAAAACTTTAAGCCTCGAGTTGCCATATTGAAAGATCCTATGAGCAAAATATTGAATGATGCAGGAAACATCAAAAGAAGATGGAAAGAATACACAGTCACTATACCAAAAAGAACTGGTAGATCTTCCTCCATTTCAGGAAGTGGCATATGATCTAGAATCAATGGTACTGAAGGAGGAAGTCAAAGATGCAATGAAGGAATTGGCAAAGAACAAGGCCCCAGGAATTGACAGAATACCCATGAAGATATTTCAACAAACTGATGCTGTACTGGAGACACTCACTTAGTTATTCCAAGAGATCTGGCCAACTGACTGGAAGAGATCCATATTTGTACCCATTCCAAAGAAAGGTGATCCCACAGAATGTGGAAATAATCAAACAATATCATTAATATCGCACACAAGTGAGATCTTACCGAAGAAAATTAAAAAACAGTTGCAGCAGTATATTGACAGAGAACTTCCAGAAATGCAAGCTGGATTCAGAAGAGGATGTGGAACAAGGGATATCATAGCTGCTGTCAAATGGATCTTGGCTCAAGACAAAGAATACAAGAAAGATGTTTACTTGTGTTTTATTGACTATGCAAAGGCATTTGATTGTGTGGATCATGACAAATTGTGGATAACATTGAGAAGAATGGGAATTCCCAAATACTCACTCGTACTCATGAGGAACCTATACATAGACCAGGAGGCTGTTGTTTGAACAGAACAAGAAGACACCACATGGTTTAAAATCAAGAAGGGAGTGCATCATCTCACCCCAGCAATAATGGCAAAGTTCAACAGATCAGATAGTAACAAATGCTGGCAGGGTTGTGGACAGATTGGAACTCTTGTGCACTGCTGGTGGGATTGTAAAATGGTACAACCATTATGGCAGGTGGTATGACGTTTCCTTAAAAAACTGAAAATAGAAGTACCATTTGACCCAGCAATTCCATTACTAGAAATATATCCTCAAGAGGTGAGAGATAACACACAAACAGACATATGTACACCTATGTTCATTACAGCACAATTCACCATAGCAAAGAGATGGAAATAACCTAAATGCCTAATGAGTGGATAACCAAATTATGGTATATCCACACAATGGAATACTATGCCACATTAAAGAACAATGAGGGATACATGAATCATCTCGCAACGTGGATGAACCTGGAGGACATTATGCTGAGTGAAATAAGTCAATCACAGAAGGACAAGTACTGTATGAACCCATTACTGTAAAAAGACAGAGAAGGGTTTACTTGGGAAAGGGAACTCACCTAGTAGGTTACCGGGATGGGGAAGGAATGGGAAGGATTAATTTAGGGCTAGTTGGGGCTTACATGCTGACATAGGTAGGGGGAGGGATTTATGGGAAAGATATATGACCACCAAGATAACATTGGGAAATGAGAGGACACCGAACTGTGCACATGAGAGATAGACGACAGATGCTAAAACCAACCAATGTGTCCACGATACCACATTGCCATTAACACCAAGCACTAGGCTATACAGATAAACACGTAAACACCTGAGATGATCAGACAAGGGTCAGTGAATAGAGGTATACTCTAGATCAAGGATAGACTCAGCTGAGGCTAATCTTGTACAGACACCAGTGATACAAAATACCTGCAGTCCTTACAGAAACAATACAAGACAGACGCAGAGTAAGCCCTCACAGACATCCCAACACTATGAGAGAGAGAGCCAATAGATCTACTACCTCAGGACTATTGTACTGGGGGACACCAGACTCAACTGGCACAACCAAATTCATAAAAGCATTGCTCCACATCCTACATTGGTGAGTAGTGACTGGGGTCTTAAAAGCTTTCAAACAGCCATCTAAGATGCAGCTAATGGTCTCCTAGCATCAGAAGTAAAAAAGAATGCAAAAAAAAAAAAGGTATTTAGAAGCAATCAGCCCTAGGACACGATGGCCCTCGAGACCAGAACTAGATGGTGCCCAGCTACCAATGCCAACCACTCAGGAAAGGATCAAATCTGGAAATCCTGGTTAGAGTGGGAGGAAAAACGTGGAACAAAATCCAAAAACTCAATAATGACCAGAATTACTGGTCAGATGAAATCTGGTGAGACTCCTAATACTATGGCCCTGAAATACATTCAACACCTGAATAAAACTCACCCCCAGGGGTGGGCTCTCAGCCCAATAGTTAGCAAGATGTACACACAGACCACTCAACCCAGGATGCCACACCCACATACTCAATGGTAATACATCCCTTAGAGCAATAAACCATGGGATACCAGAGAACCAACATTCAAACTGAGGAAATGCAGGACAAACAGGAGTGCATAGTTATGAGGCGCACAGGGGGAGAGTTGCAGGGTAGGGAGGGGAGGAGACTGGGTTAGGGTTGGACATGGCTAATGGGCAATGAAACTAAATGTATGCATGACACTGAATGTAAAACAAGCTCTTAAAA